CCCCCCCCCACCGGTGTCCTCGCTCTGACTCGGCCTCGCCCGCAGGTGCTGTGCTTCGAGATCAGCCGAGCCAAACCTCACCAGCGGCGGCTGTGGGAGGTGCAGGCCCCGGGAACGGTGCAGTGGCTGGGGATGCTGCGCCAGCGCCTGTGCGTGGGCTACCCCTCGGGCTTCGCGCTGCTCGCCCTCCAGGGCGACTCGTCGCCCGTCAGCCTGGTGAGCCCGGCCGACCCGTCGCTGGCCTTCCTGGCCCAGCAGCCCCTGGACGCCCTGCACGCCGCCGAGGTGGGGAGCGCCGAGGTGCTGCTGTGCTTCAGCCAGCTGGGCGTCTTTGTGGACGGGCAGGGCCGCCGCTCGCGCGCGCACGAGCTGATGTGGCCCGCCACGCCGCTCGCATGCAGTACGTCCGTGCGTCGTCGCCCCCTGCCACCGGGCCCGCTTGCCGTCGGCCGCTAACCTCTTCGCTGCCTTCGGTGGCTGTAGGTTCCAACTCCTCCCACCTGAGCGTCTACAGCGAGTACGGCGTGGACGTCTTTGATGTGCACACGGCCGAGTGGGTGCAGACCATTTCCCTGCGCAAGGTAACGCCGTGGACGCCGGCCCGCCTCCCAAGCGCCGCCGTGACCCGTGCACCCTTTCCTCAGATCCGACCTCTCAACGTGGAAGGCACGCTCAACCTGCTCACCTCGGAAGCCCCTCGCCTCATCTACTTCGGCAGCGCCTCGTCAGGTGAGGGCCGCCGCCGCCGCCCTGGTCGGCCGCGGGCCTTTTCACCCCCTTTCTCTCCCCCCCCGCCGTCCCCAGAGGGCGACCTGACCATCCCGGAGATGTCGGAGCACAGCAGGAAGCTGATGGTCCGCACTCGCAGCAAGAGGAAGTTCCTCTTCAAAGTTCCGGAGGAAGAAAGACTTCAGCAGCGCAGGTGAGGCGAAGCGCAGTCCGAGCGCACCGTCGGCCGCCTCGTGAGGATGCCCCTGCCGTGACCCCCGTCGGTGGTCATGTTGTGTGCGGCCCCCTTCAGGGAGATGCTGCGAGATCCCGAGCTGAGGTCCAAGATGATCTCCAATCCCACCAATTTCAACCACGTGGCTCACATGGGACCAGGAGACGGCATGCAAGTCCTCATGGACCTCCCCCTGGTAAGCGCGGCCCTCCTCGTCCTCCCGCGCGCATGCCGCCGCCGCCGCCCCGGTCCCCCCCCGCCGCCCGCCTGCATGTGGACTGACTGGCGGTCTCTTGTCCTCCTCCGGCGCTGCTCCCGCCTTTCCCTTCCCTTCCCTGACTTCCAGGTCGGTGACGTGGCCCCTCCCTCCCCGTCTCCCTCCCCCTCCTCGTCTGCCTCCCGTCACACCCTCATCTCCTCGCCCTCCAACTTTGAGCACGTGTATCACATGACGTCGTCGTCGGCCGGCGTCTTCTTGCTGAAAGACTCGGCCTCGTCCTCCTCCCAGCAGAGCCTCCTGCAGCCTTCCTCCTCCTCCTCTTCCTCTCCCTCCAGCTGCTCTCTGGGAAGGGTAATAATCACCCCCCCCCCACCCC